TTAGTCGTTGCAACAGGATTGCGCATCTCGATTAGAGTTGTCGTCGTAACTTCATTTGAAAGAAGTCGAAAGGCAGCAAGACTATAACCCCTATGAGATAATCCTGGAATTCACTCTCAAAGGTTTGATGGGCATGATAGAGGCGAATGAAGTGGCGAAGTATGCCTTGGGGTGACGAAAATGCTTTCGTTTCTCTGGATCCTTTGCAGCTGACTCTATCCTACCACATAACATTTAAGACTTGGGCAATATGCCCTAGTAAGTACAGTAACAAGTCTTATCAATGATTTAATGCATTTCACTATCTGGGCTCTATTGCATGTTCGAATCACTGACTACTCTACTCATCCCATGTGATATTTTCATGATATGTTAGATGACAATATCCCGATCAGTTTGTAAGTTATCATGTACCGATCTAGTAACAAACGCGCATATGATCACGCGATATCAGCCATAATATGAGATGACGTATGCTGAAAAAACGGGTGACGGATTAACTCTGGGGTCAGGAGAACCCCTTTTCAGATGCAGTATTTCCTGCGCTTTTGAATTGTCCCTCCAAAGTTCTTCATTATGTTGGTCTTGAGGAACTTCATCTTCTTTTCTGTTCCAGCAGTCATGCGTTTCCTGACCAAACTTTAGTGGCATGCAACGGTCTTGGCCTCTTTGTCCTTTACTTTGTCCATTTCATCACCAAGTTCATCACCAAGTTCATCAATCAAAACCTGGATAGTCTTTGGCCCATTGTGGCCATCAGGCTGGAATTTGATTTGGGCAATAGCATCCAGGAGCTTGCCTCTCTTGGATAGCTCGGCATCAAATGACAGAAGGAGATTCCTAGCCCTAACCCCAACCTGAAAATAGATTAATTTGGGTCAGGAGAACCCCTTTTCAGATGCAGTATTTCCTGCGCTTTTGAATTGTCCCTCCAAAGTTCTTCATTATGTTGGTCTTGAGGAACTTCATCTTCTTTTCTGTTTCCAGCAGTCATGCGTTTCCTGACCAAACAGTAGTGGCATGCAACGGTCTTGGCCTCTTCGTCCTTTACTTTGTCCATTTCATCACCAAGTTCATCACCAAGTTCATCAATCAAAACCTGGATAGTCTTTGGCCCATTGTGGTCGTCAGGCTGGAATTTGATTTTTGCAATAGCATCCAGGAGCTTGCCTCTCTTGGATAGCTTGGCATCAAATGACAGAAGGAGATTCCTAGCCCTAACCCCAACCCCAACCCTTGGACAACTTGCAAATGACACTCAAGTCTACAACCTCTGGTTGGCGAGGTTTCTTTGAAGACTGTGTCAGAGGATTTGCGGATTGTTTTCTTTTGGTAGGAGTACTGCTCATGAGGGGCAGACAAGAGCAACAAGACAAATGGTTACAGTGGTGATTGACTTGCGTCTTCCTTCTGTTTTCATTTTTTTAAAAGACTACGTTTGTCGCTGAGACGAGTGTTATATAAATATGGACGTCGGAGTGGACAAAATTTGAATCAGCAGGTATGAAATTAGATTAAATTGAGACTATATTAGACAACTATTTCAAGTTTGTTTCACTACATTCACCGTCAAGTGTGGCCAAACACACTTGAAATAGTTGTCTAATTTAGTTTTTATTTACACATGTACATTTCTTACGGTTTCCTACAGGGATGCAAATGGAGAAAATGGAACGGCAGAAGGGGTTCTGATGTGTCCGTTTCATTTTGTCAGTTGATCCTTGCAGGGTGTTTGGTCAAAGCAATTCCCAGGAATGGCTAGTTCTCATGAAGGCGTTGTGATGTAAGAAGGGTAGAAAATAGATCAGAGAACATGAAATTCATGGGATTCTTGAGATGTTGACAGGCATCCGGTTCAAGAGGAAACTGGAAGTGGCATTCAGCAAATTGTGATAAAGAGCAATTTTTAAACATTAAGTCAAGACAATCATTTTTTGTACATTGTGGTGTGGGGAGCTGTAGGGTCTCGATGGTTTCAATCGAAGTGGAGTTTGGGAAGAGGTGTGCACTGAGTTGTTTTTTGTGTCATGTGCTGCTGCAGTGTTGTGTGTGGACAACGTGCAGATTTGGGTGCACACATTCGAACCAAATATTGTAGGGAGGGGGGAAATTCTATACGTTGCGTACAATTCATGCCGTTAAATGGAGGGCATTTATGTAGGTAAATAAATCTGACAGTTATATCTAACACAGGGAAAATTTGAACGGTTTTGGCAGATAGAAGGAGCCATTCAAAAATAGAAGGAGCCAAAACGGTTCTGTCTAATATATGGGTTAACATTCTGTGAAGACCTTCGGAGTTTGGCTGATGTCCGATTTGCCTAGTGTGAAAGTACTTTGATAGATCCAAATCCACGATCACAATAAACCACTTCCGCAGAAAAAAACATTGCAATTGCACCAAACCAGTACAAAACACTCATAACAATCAAACATAGGAAAATACATAAACTTGTGACTATACGGATCAAGCTACAAATACGGGCAAATAACGGATTGATTCTTCCCAAAATAATGGTCACCTCAATGTTGTAAGGATGCAGTATCATAAAATATTGCAACCTCAGCCAGTGTACCTCTATAGAGCATCTTAATGCGCACAAATTACCTTTTCAGAATAAAAACCCCAAAAAAGGAAAGCGGTCTGGTCTTTGTCCAGAGTTTTTCTTTGTTAAACAGGGGGCCTTGTGCGCAAGCATAGTTCCCTTCTCTTTTTTTCACAGTTTACTCCCCCTTTGCACAATAATTTTTTTGGATGACTTTTGCCAGTCATCTATGACCCGCACGAAGCCATCTATCACATTTGCAAGAACACCCATCACCAGCAGCCTTTTCCTCATAGCAAGAAAACTTTGAAGAGCTACCTATGCATTGTGCTCTTTGACAAGCCCAACTACTAGCTCACCGTCAAACTTCTGCTGATCACAATATACTCTACCTGAATTACATGTTGGGTGTGTGTTCTGCACATTATCACCATGGAGAACAAAGGCACTAAAATCAGAATGGAAGGATTGTGTCACAGGGCCTGAAGCAACATTTGAGGGCTTCTCTCGGCAGTGATTGGAAGAAGCAACGTTGCTTTCAAGTTGGCTACAGTGAATTATTTGCTTCCGTTAGCAGTATTGATGATTTCAGTCAGTCTTTTGTCTGCAATGCTACCAACTCTACCACAACCAACCATCTACAGGATGACACAGTCAGCGAGATGACAAGTTACACAGGTTACAGCAACCTGGAAACCAAGCCAGGACAAACATCCAACAAAGCAAATGAGTTGTTAGGCTTTTTGCGGGAGTCGAATCTGCTTAGTGGATTTGAAAAAATTGCCTCAAAGCACTTGTTTCAAAATTGCATTTCCGCTCATCAGCAGCTGAAGAAGGAGACCATCAATAGCCAGACGTGCCCCTCCAAGCTTCCACCCATTGTATCCAAAGAGGGTCTGATGAATTTTGTTCAAAGTCATCTCAACGACACTTTGGACCCCGAATTTCAGAATGACAATGGCAACGAAGATGCCTCATTGGCCAGCCTTCCGTCATCACTGGGAATTGAAGAGGAGGATAGATCAATAGTTTCAAACGCACAAGTAAATGATGGCTCATTTGTTTTTGATGTGGACTACGGATCAAACTACGGAACTAGTTATTTGCCTAATAATATTGCAATGCCCGATGCTGCTGCCACAAATATTGTTGCAGAGCCTCCAACTCTAACAGAGGATCTGATCGATTCTCAAAAAAAGCACACCTGGCAGGCATACTCCCCAAAGATATTAGATCCCACTGTGGCAGACCATGACAAAGCTTACTTCCAAGAAAGAAGCCACTACATCCTGGTGAATGCCTTTCATGACATCTGCTTTGGGGCGAATATGTGCAATATTCACCTTGCCACTCCTGGGGAAACTTTGCACATGCATCAGAAGGGAGCAATGGTAAGAGTCGTAGAATCACTTTGAGAACTCATATATTTGGCAGGTCCCAAACCAGCAAAGAAAAAGGGGATAACTAATGCCAGGGATGATGATGACAACGCTGGTGCTCACCACAATAACAACGACGACGAGACTTTCCATATGAAAGCTGACTCGTGGATAAACCGCCCATCCACTGCGGATGGCCTTGACAACCTGGGCCACAGATATGGGATATGTCTTTCACGGCAGTCGATCGGAAGAGACCACAGACCAAATTCCACAACTCTCTCTTTGAGGCCACAAAGAAATGTGGGCATGAACAGGCGGGGGTGTGTTTATGTTTGTATCTTGCAATGATATTGGACAGGGGAAGGCAACTGTTTCTTGTAGAGAGAACCCTCCACTGAACGTACTACATTGATCAGGTACAGGTCTACGGGCTTGTCCTTGGCATGGAGCAATGGCTCAAGAAGGAGAAGTATCCATTAGAGCATGCCCTTGATACAGAATTGGTCGGTAGGATGATTGACAAATACGTTGAATTTCTAGGCAAGACCTCATTCAGGAGAGGAATAAGGGCTCGTCTCATTAAGAACCATCTTCTGTTTCATTTTCCAGACTACATGCTTCTTTGGGGCCCCCCAAGAGGCTGACTCTGGTCCCAGGAGCAAGCTCATAAAACCAAACAGAAACAGCCAGCCCAACAAACACAAAGGCGCCAGTCTACCTTCATCAAGCAATTGACTTTGAGATATGCGGAAAACAGACTTATTTCCAAAGCAGAACAAACTTTTGGCCGCAACAGAGCTTCAGAGAAAAGTGAGGAGACCCTTACCAGTGTCGCCATTTTTTTGGGTGGTTCCCAATTCTCTGTAGGTTTCAACAAAAAGGGAGAACCAGCCATGAAATGGATGTGGAATTTCCGTCCACGGGGTGGCTACATGCAGGAAGTACTCAATTTTGTTTGTGAGCGGCTTATGCCTCATGCTCCAGCAGATACAATTGACGGGGTTTACGAGATCACAATGCTGATTGGGTCAGATAGATTCATCTTTTGGGCCAATCCCAATTATCGATCGTCCTCAAGACATATAGTAGATGCTTGGTACAATTGGGCGAAGTTTTCAGTGCCACACCATCCCAACGTGGAGCTTCCCAGTCAAATACTGATGTTTGTAATGATGCCTTGGGTGGAGGATCAGATTTCCTACAAAGGTATCAAGCTAGCTCCCAACAAAATCCATGCCGTTATCAATCTTTTCAAAGACCCCCCACTGTCACGGTTTTCCAGGTTTCAATTTGATGATTTGTACCTAGTCCCATGTCACAATATTTCCGGCCCAGCAATCGGCGTACCAAACATACTTGAGATTTGACTGGAGGAGGAGTCCAGGTTGAGCAACCAACAGCGACAAGAGTTGAGTTGCCAACGCAAACATGCTGCTGCAGACCGGCAGCTTCCCGGGGAACAGCCACTTGGAGAGGGGTACTTTGTGGTTGCTAACCAGACTCAATTGGCCGAAATGATGGAACAGTGGAAAACAGATGATTTTCAGTTGTAGACTTAAGAGTAATTGCAGGGTCTGTTGATGCCCAAACTATCTTTGGTTCCTGTTACGACGCTTGGTGGCCCTCAACATAGTAGTTCCCTCTTCTCTTGTGCGTCTCCTTTTTTGGTTCTCCCGCCATTGCCTTTTTGCCCTTTCTTTAAGTTCACGACAAAATACAGCCCAATGTTCCTGGAACTCTTGGGGATCCTGGCCCCATGTCCATTCCCAGTTAGTCCACAAGCCGGTTACTTCAGAGAAAACTCTTGCTCTTGCAAATTCAAGATCCGCCTCACTGATGCGCCCATTGGACAAAAGGAGTCTCTTTCGCATCCAGGATTACTCTGATCAAGTTCCAATAGTTTCAACTCAGTAAAACATCCCCTGGCTTCTATCTCCCGTAGTTTGTTGTCATCCAGGTATCCCTTTTTCAGTAGACGATGATTGCACACCAATTTCCTACGGTAACACCCAAAAAGATTATCTTGATCCATCCAGTTTCCTATGTGGTCATGATCTTCCTTCAATAGAAAACCAAGCTTGATGTTGTTGTTGTCCAATTCCTTTTTCACAATGGCCCATTCCACGTTCTCCTGCCCTCCAGCTTTCACAATAAGCTGTCCCTCGTCGTTCAAGTTGTACAGCTTAAGCTTCATACAAGGGTACACCTCCGGCAATTCTCTTTTTTCAGTTTGGTTTGTTTGCCTGCCAGCCAACCTCATCCCATGAGCATATACTGTTGATATCACTCTCCTTGTTCTCACCGCCATCAATTGCAATCTCTCAAGATGACAAGGCTAGACACCTATCCACGACTTGGCTTGCAATGTCTTGTCGGTAATTGCGCAATCCAACACTGTCAGCAATTGTTTGGAGTGGATCGTCCATATTCCTCTTTTCCAGCTCCACTATTCTACTCCCTACCTTCAGTCTGTTGGACTTCACCTGGGGGAAGAAGAAGTTTGTCAGATGCACACCAGATTCTATCAAACCCGCACCAATGGCAAGACGAGTGAAGAGAGACAGCTCGCCAATTCCAAAGGCACAGCCCCAGATGGATTTGATTATCTGACATTGGCCACAAACACAGAATGATGGAAGAAACTTCGGGTCACAGAAAAACAAAGCACGTGATCGCAAAAGAAGATGCTTTTATTACCTTCTGGTCGCGAGAGAAGGCGACAAACTACTGCTGGATAGGAGTTGCATGTCATTTGGAAGGATTGATCCTCGAATTGGATTACATTGAAAGATATGAAAAAGAGTTTTCCAGTGGAGTTTGCTGACTATGCAAAGCTGAAGGCAATCGATGATGAGCCCACTTTTGCTTGGTGGGTGCCACATGTGCAGAGGAAACGCGACAGCTTCATTCAAAAGATAAAATCGAAATACTGGGAAAGGACCCACAAATATGGGATTCGTATTCCGACATCTGTGAAAGAGGCAATTAAAATTGATCAGGAAAACGGTGATACAATGTGGCAGGATGCGATAAAAATGGAAATGAAAAATAATCGAATCGCTTTTGAGGGATATAATGGAGATGTTTCCAAGCTTGTTGGATACAAGCAAATTACTGGACATATGGTATTTGATGTGAAGTTGGGCAAAAATTTCAGAAGAAAAGCAAGATATTGCGCTGATGGACACAAGACAGAGGCGCCTGCAGCATTGACCTACAGCACTGTGGTTGCAAGGGATTCTGTTCGGATTCTGCTGACGATTGCAGCTTTGAACGATTTGGATGTGCAGTGTGCTGATATTCAAAATGCCTTTTTGATGGCACCGAATCTTGAGAAGTGCTACATGATCGCTGGACCTGAATTTGGAGATGAAGAAGGCAAGACATTTCTTATCAAGCAAGCACATATTTGCGGGCTAAAATCATCAGCCTTGGCATTTTGTTTAAATTTTGTGAAGACATTGGAAGAACTGGGCTTTTATTCGTCTTATGCTGATCCAGATGTCTGGATGTGAGCGGCTGTGAAACCTGATGGCAAAGAATATTACAAATATATTCTATGTTATGTTGATGACATCTTGTGTATGTCCAAAAAGGCAAAATATGTGATGGAGCAAATCAGCTACAAGTTTAAGTTTAAAAAGGGAAAAATCAAACCGCCAGAAAGTTATTTGGGTGCTGGTGTGAAAAAGAAGGAATTGGATGGTGATGACATGTGGACTATGTCCAGTCACAATTATGTTGTCGCTGCAGTGAAGAATGCATAGGAGACGATTACAAAGAGCAACAAGTGGAAGATGCCTAAGAAGGCAGTGACGCCGATGACCAGTGATTATATCTCAGAGTTGGACGGATCACCCAAATTGAACGCAAAAGACCATACCTATTACCAGGAATTGATTGGAATCTTGAGATGGGCGACTGAGATTGGAAGAGTTGATATTCTATTGGAGATTTTGCTATTGAGTCAATATCAGGCGACGCCAAGAGAGGGTCACATGGAGCAGTTGTTGCGGATTTTTGCTTACCTGGATACATATCCAAAGTTGACATTGTACTTTGATTGGAGGCTGCCGAATGTCATCGAAAGCAGACTTCCAAACCCTCTATTGCGACGCGAAAGAAGAGATGCCGGCAAATATGCCACCACCAAAAGGGAGACAAAATGGAAGTTTGGCTTGGGTAGATGCGCCTCACGCAGCAAATAAGATAAGACCAGGAGGTCGCACACAGGATACGTTATCTTCTTGAATAAGGCACCAATTATATGGTACAGTTGGAGACAGAATACGGTTGAGGTGAGTACATTCAGAGCTGAAGTTATTGCATTGAAATCGTGCATTGAAGCGATCACTCATTTATGATACAAATTGCGTATGTTTGGGATACCATTGGACAATGAACCAACACATATTATGTGTGATAATGAAAGTGTGGTGAAGAATTCGACACTTGTTGAGTCGACTTTGAATAGAAAGCATAATTTGATTGCTTACCACTACACGAGATGGAATGTGGCAGCTGGAGTTGTGAATATTTCTTGGATTGCAACATTGTTGAATATTGCGGACGCTTTCACAAAGCAATTGACGCAGATGTGTAGGGAAGAGTTGTTTGGCTCTTGGACATATTAACAACCTGTGAATTATTCTAATTACAGCTTGAGGGGACCAAATAAAGGTAACTGTGCTACTATGGTCTGTCCAACACCACGCAAAATGCTTTGATATAGATGATAATGACTCTACTGTAACTTTATGTTTTCAACACCTTGAGACTTGATCTTCACTAGACTTTACTACTATTCCTTGATTTGAATTGTAAGTGTAACATCAATTTTTACATTCTGCCACCAGATATGCCGGAAGCTCTTGGACTTGCGGTAAAATTGATGATGTTTGTCGATGCCTCACATGCTTCTAACCTTGTCACTTGCCAATCTCGAACAGGAGTGCTAATTTTTGTGAATTGTGCTCCTATCATTTGGTATTCCAAGAAACAGAACTCTGTTGAAACTAGCTCCTTTGGGAGTGAATTCATGGCTCTGAATACTGGTCTGCGCTACAAGCTACGCATGATGAGAGTTCCCATTGACGGGTACTGCCACACCTGCATGGATGACGGTTGTTATTTGAGCCATTGGGGTGTATAGATGATATTCTCCATTAATAGCGTCCATGGAGGGGAGCTGATAGGTAGCATATCTCGGGCAACAAACATGAAATACCGTTTTTTTGGTTATTATGTAAATAAGAATAAGTGAGATGGAGGCCGGGAATCATTGGATTCTTGCAGGCCATTCTTGCAGGCCATCTAAATTGGACCCACTTTTGTTACGATCTACTTTAATTGGAGGTAGTGGTTATACTATAGGTGAGCTGATTGCGTTGGCAAATGAAACTTATTTAAAACACGTTTGGCAAGTCACTGCTCGTTTATTCCGTTCAGATGATGCTGCACTAGACATTGTTAAGCTTCCGCACCCTGCTGCACCAATTTGACACCGAGTAATGAAAAATGGGGCTCCTGTGGTGGTTCATTTGGGGCCATGGAGCCAGAGCCAACTTGACATTGGGGCTGTCACTCATCAGCAAACAAATTCAAAGAGTTTCTGATGGAGGAGTTTTTGGATTTTGGAAGGAAGGGATTTTGGATCTTGCTTCCATATGGCGCCATCAAGGACAAAAAAGGACTTTGCATTTCTCCAATTGGCTGCCTATCACAAGATAACAGAAGACTGCGGATGATTGTTGATTATTTGTTCTGGGGACTCAACAACAAGACTATGAAACGGCAGATATTCCATAAAATAGGCGATGAATATTTGAAACTCGTTGTAGTTTTCATACTACTCCTACCATGACGGCACATTTCTGCTTGGAATAACCAAAGATCGAAGAACAGACAAATAATATTTGATTTCAACAAAAAAAAGGCGCTAAGCGACCCGGATATGACTGTAGCAGAGGCATTTTTTGTCCGTGTTGGTACCGTTTTTGATGGGAGCTAGTTTCAACAAGGATAGGTTTCAAGCATCGTGTCATACATAGTGCGTGTCATCATCATTGTTTCCATCAACAACACTTTGATCACGAGCCTCCAACGAGCAACAGCAGCAATGACCACAACAGACGCAAAATAGACATGATGCAAAATAGCCAGGAACCAGAAACAGAACATTGTGTACATCAGGGGCATCAATGAACAAGCGGTGAGTTCCAACAAATCTGCATTGGCGCTCTCGATCTGAGTAGGTGCCGATTGATTAGAATGAAGCAATCCAACAATCCACTAGAAAGCAAAAGCAGAGTGGGATTATCTTGCTACTGCGCTGCTTAAACAAGATTTGGAATGTTTTGCCTTTTCAATGGTTGGTCAAATCGTTTGCATTTAATACCGCAGCAAAGAAGACATTAAGGTTTCAATAAATTTGCCGTTACCTGCTTGTTGTGACCTGCTTGATACAGTAGTCTTTGAAGAACAAGCTTGATAGTGTAGTCTTTGAAGAACAAGCTTGATACAGTAGTCTTTGAAGAACAAGCAACAACGTTATGAATTTGGCAAGAAGAATGCAACAATCCAGATTGTTTGACAGCTGATGGAGCGGAGGGTGATTGATCTTGCTACTGTACAGCATAAATGCCTTTTCTATAGTCAAAGCATTGTTTGCATTCACTACCACAGCAAACAAGACATGAAAGGTATCAATAAATGCAACAATCAACATTGTTTGAAAGCAGGAGGGGAGTGAGATTCATCTTGGACCTGCCCTGCTAAAATTGAGATTCGGAACCATTTTGAAATCAAACTTAACTATCTCATCAACTATGTTATCTATAGCATCTCAATGATTGGCTTGCAACGATTCATTTGTGATCAAGTCAAGAGTTTGACAATGAGAGAGTTCGGCAAAGATATGGCAGTATGATTGGAATCTAGCTACCTGCATCATCTTGCTGCCTCCTTACCATACTCTATACTAGATAAACTACAACAATTTGGTAGTTTGGACACTAGCAAGGGATGAATTCCGGTGGAACAGCCTCATGCCCAATTGGAGAAACACAAAGCAGCGGACGGAAATGAGCCTGTGCAAACTCATTCAGCCAAGAGTTGTATGCATTGAGTGCCCAGCCAAGATATAAACGGATCTCCTGGCAAACTGTTAGATCTTCAGCGAAGCCTCCAAAATTGGATTGTTGTGTTTTCCTATGAAGCTGCTCCGCACAGCTGGCTTCCACTGCTTTCCTTGTGCCATGCTTCAATTTTAAAATGTGATGGCTTGTTATCCTGTGTAGAACTCCTTGTCTGTAGCATTGGTGAGTTTCTCCGTGACAAACAATATTTTTGATTCCCCTTTTTTGAATTGCAGTAACCTGGATATGGCACCAGCTCCCGTCACGTACCGTATGTAGAAACTGGTAGACGCAAGCAAACGGTTTGACCAAGATTATATGATATCTGCCAATAAAACTTGCCCCAGGGGGAGCTATGCAATTTGGCATGGCCCCACTACGCATCCGCAAGGCACTCATGAAGGCAAACCCGGACTATGGGTCAGTTTACATGTACAAGAACGACATATTGGACGGTTTATACCGCATCCGACTGTCAACTACCGGTGCACTCAAGCTTGGGGTCATTATACCGCGTTTTGAGGGACTTCCACAATTGGTTGCACTGCCACTTGTGCTTCCAATGGGTTGGACAGAAAGTCCTCCATGGTTCTGTGCTTTCACGGAAACCGTTGCCAACTTAACAAATATTGACTTGCAACAAAACAAGCAAGTGCCACCGCATCCCTTGGGAAGGGCAGCAGCCATCACTGACTTTGAAGTGAGGGACACACAAGTTGTGAGACCTATACCAAAATCTCACCAGCCACTGATTTACCAGCGCCCATTGAAAAAGATGGAAGTATTTGTGGACAATTTTGTTGGAATGGGCCAAGACCATCCAAGCAATCCTTTTAAAAAAAAACAAGCCGTCCTCAGCCACAACATTGACAAGGTTTTCCGACCAAATCGACCCACTGACAATCAGTGGCGAAAAGAGCCACAGTCACAATTGAAAATGGCCAAGGGAGATGCCTCTTGGCACACAGTCAAAGAAGCCTTGGGTTGGAACTGGGGAGCGACAACAAAGACATTGCAATTGAAAGAGAAACGAGTGAGCAAGGCCCTGTCACTCCTGGGCAAGGTCTTGGATTGCAAACGCGTCTCCCTGAAACGATGGCAGCAGGTGTTAGGAGTTTGACAAAGCCTGCAGCCAGGAATTTTGGGCAGTGAGGGACATTTCTCCCTGCTGCAGGATGCACTGATTTGACAGGTGGATTATAGGGTGCGTTTGACTCCTGAGGTCCGTGAGCAACTGGAAATCTTCCAAGATGCAAAGCGCCCCACAACACTTGAAGAACTGGTACCAGGCGTTGACTTTTACGTTGGCACTTGCGATGCGGCAAAGTTGGAAAGGGGAGCAGTGTGGTTCACAGACAATGGAGAGGCCATCGTCTGGCGCGAACCATATCAAGAAGCAGTGAAAAAAGAGGTCATTTCATATCACAATCTGACAGGAAAACTTACCGACTCAGACTTGGAGCTGGAAGGCACCGTTCTCCATCATTTTGTCCTTGGAAAGACCGCCCAGGTGGAAGGCGAAGCCACTTATACGGGCTGTGACAAAACAGCAGCAGTGTTGTGGAGCACAAAAGGATCTTCCACCTCTCAAAAGGCAAGAGCAAGAACATTACGGTTAGCGGCAGGATTACAGCGGGAACAAAGAGCACATCATCATATTGGGCACTTATCTGGAACAAACATCAAATGGCCGACAATGCTAGCCGACTGTGGCACTCATATTTTAATTGCACGTATCCACAGATCAACTCTTGGCAACTTTACAGGATGGCAAACGCCGTGAACTCCTTGATGACATCCGTGCTGTCGAACTCGGAATCAAACGCGGAGTCTGTCCTTCAAGAGTTGCAAAGGCATACTTGGTCTGGACCACATGGGTTGCCTTCTGCAACAGCCTCACCCTCTGTCTGCAGTCGACAATCCCTTGCTCAGCATCCACTTTTGCTCTCGTGATAAAGCCGCGACCTCTGGGCTTCGGTGCTTTTGGGGGCAACACTTCTTTGCCTTCCAAGTGACCAAACTCGCTTGTTGACCAATCCTTTCTGGCAAAAGCAGCTTTGTCAATCTCAGGATAACTAGGGTCAAACACCAACTCAGCATTGTGGTGCTTCTTTAAGTAACCGAATATATTCAAGACCTGTTCAAGATGACCAAATCGCGTCATCGGCAGCTGTGACGATAGAATGCTGCATTCCAAGCAGATGTCAACTTGACCGAGTTCCACAATCTATCTCAAAACGCCAATCAAGGACATGTAGTACAAAGCATCTTTTGGCTCCAGCTCCGGCTTGATAACTGGTCCGCATTGGTGTCCTGGCGCTTGCAGGTATTTTGAATCTTTTGTCACCAGCGGTGTGACAATCATTCAGGTACTTTTCAACATTCTTGACGGCTTGTTGTACGTAAGATGATGATCCAAATGCCCAAGCTTTGGCACCGTGATCAAGCGTCACCTGTCGCACATTACCGCCAAGATAGATCTTTGGTGGACCAATGCTCTTATCTTTCAACAGAAAATACTTCCCAACTTGGTTTCGTAGCGTTCGTTCTGGATGTTCAGATACACAGAGGCAGTCATCGGTGTACAGCAGTATGTATTCCCAATATTCTTGTCCATCGGCTTTAATAGCAGGCCTCATTCAAACATCCGGGTCGGCCGGGCAAGACTCGAATCCCAGGTGTCGCATACAAGCATGTAGATGATTTCTGAAATTGCGTCCAGCAGTTTTGCCGCCATAAATTGCACGATGAATTAGAGCAACCTTGCCAACGTTTCCAATCCAAACTCTGGGCCACAAACGATATAATCCTTCTGTGATGACGAGGCTTGGAGGTATGCATTTCTAATATACTTCAAGATCATTCAATGCAGCGTAGGTGAACGCAATGCGCACACTCTCTCTCCACACCACTCCAGCATATTGAGAACAAGTTGGATCAGGCGTCTTGTGTCCATCTAGGACCCATCTAGCCTTCCGGGTGAAGTCAATCTTCACATCCCAGACCAGGTGTCCGATACTTTTGACCATCCTGGTAGAGCTTGAATCCCATGGTCTTGTAACTCAATCGCAATACCAAGCTGCGTCATTTCCAATTGCAACGCTGTGATCCACAGGTTGTTTCTATTTTGAGCATCAAGTCTCTTTGCATGTGCCACACTAAACAGATCAATTACTGGACAAAATAGAGACAAGGAAAACTTATGACTACCAGATCTTTTCAGACTACAAAACAAGACGTACGGAGGACCCCTCAATGTTGACTTGATACAAGAATCGATGCAGAATTTTGTGGTTATGTCATTCCCCTTTGCCGGTCTGATATTTGTCAAAAAAAAAATGCGGTGCCAGAAGAAAAGATCGGTTTGGGCACGTCATTTAACGGTGCCATTGTCCGGCACCTTTGAAAGAATCAGCACACGACTGGCAACACCCCCTTGTTCACCTACTATTCCAAGTCTGGAGTCTCTTGCAATGTCACAGATCAAATGATGACAAAATATTTGAGAGCTGTTGCTCTCTTTGTGGAGGCCAATTGTCTCCCACAATTGGTGCTCTTTGATGCACCGGGGCTACCGCGCTTCTTGAAGGCAATATCCCAACTAGTCTCATCAAACTACTCGGTTGGTGGTGCTCAGATGAAGTTTTTTGGTACCTTCACACCAAGTCCGAGCCTTTGATGCAACGCTTGACCAATGAAGTTGGTGAATGAGCTGCAGCTCAGTTGCAGCTCTTTCCTTTTGAAAAGACTGCTCTGTAGTTGACAGATTGAATTTGAAGTCTAGGAATACATAGTTATAAAGATTACCTCAGTCCCACCTCAAAGCGATTGAGAAGGATGAGCAATTGCAAGAGGTGTACGGAGTGTGATTCATGAGCAAAGTTATTTTGGCTCGGACGCACCAGAATGTCAAATTCAGGCCCAAAATCTGTCCACTTGGATTGTTTTGAGAATTTGTTTTTTAAGCTAAATAATTTTTATGTGTCCGTTAAATGCTCTGTGACTTTGACGCGGGGTGTTTCTTTTGACGCGGGAATGACGCAACTTGTGTTAGTTTAACGCAGAGTTGCATCAGTTTGAAGCCAATTCTGCGTCAACTGAAGTGGGACTAAACCCGCTTACTGGTATAAGTTTCATCATCAAAGGAATCCCCCAGATATAGTCCTGCTCAAAAGTCTTGTAGAAAACATATTTGAGAACCGGATTTGGCAATATTGAAACTGATCTAGGCATACTTGGCCAGGGATCTGGCAATGCCTCCCATTCCTTTCAGGATCTTTCTGCTCTCATTGTCTCATTTGTTTAGGAACTTATTGCATCCAGAATTCTTGTTGAACACCAAAGAACAAGGTAGTATGTGATTTTTGCAAAATGAAAAAGTTCGAATCATTGCAAGGTATTTGAATCCATAACTATGATAAGCATACGCTTTGTGATAGGTGCTGTCCTGCTGGTATCAATCCAAATTCGTTTAGCCGAGCTTGGAACTGTGAAATTTGGGATATGAATCCAAGTACTTCTGATGAAGTAGCTGATGTCAGAGCCTGTACTGTGTTCTTATAACATTGTGTTTCTGGCCTCCCTTGAGTTTGACGCTGGATTGCATCTGTTTGACGTTGGATTGACGCAATTTCTTGAGTTTGACGCAGGATCGACACAACTTGCATCAATTCAACGTAGATTTGAGTTAATTTGAGACAGGGCGCATGCCCGGTTTTGGGTCAAATTGACGCGGGCATGACCTAGTTTCACAGTGTGCCCGCGCTAAAACTGAAACGGACGCTTAACGTTTTTTAAAAAGAGCGTTTTCATGTTGTGGTGCATTCCTGGAATGAATATCAGCCAATCGCATTTATTCTATCTAGTCGATTGACGGCCTTGGCTGGAGACGTCTGAGGTCTTCCTACCGCAAAAAGCATGTAGAAATTACTTTGAGGTCTCCTACCATAGAAATTATTTTGAGTTTTTTCCTACAGCAACCTTACGACAAAGTTTAACGGTATGTCCGCCGCTCAACAGATCATTTTCATACTAATTTGTGGGAAGAGGACTGCTGATCCAAGATTTTCAACCCCATACAGACATACAATCAAAGTTTTCTGCTTTATGTGGAATGTGGCATGGCAACACATAATGATGGCAAGAAATGACCATGTAGCTGAAGATGTCTAATTGGATGCCAATTGACACTTTTTTCTTACAGAAATATACCATGTTGTAATAACATTACAAGTTTTACGTATCATCTGGCGCTCTTGTTTGAAAAAGAAAATACTTCAAAATCGGAACAGCACATCATGTCCTTTTCTGCCCTCTTGCTTTATTGTGCAGAATCTTTGACCTCAATACTCCCTCCTGATCGAACAGCTTAAAGTGCTATCGTTGTGCTCCTGGCTCTCATTGTAGAGAGAGCGGACTAGTGCATTGATGTAGCTACTGTTGGACATGATAGACGGTGATTGATATTGCTATTGGGGTGTATTTACGGGGGTCTGAAGCAGCTGTGAGTAGATGATGAAAGACTGATCTTAGGCTGAATATTCGGCGATGACCGTTGGCCTTCGATCGCTCTAATACATCTTTTCAGGACTTGGCAGTCCAGTCAGTCATGTTACGTCCCCTCTTGTTCTATTTAGGCGACTCTGTTGTGTGTTCATCTTGGTCTGTTTTCACCTCCCTCTTCTTGATGAATGGCTGTTGGCACCAAACAAGGTAGCCAAAGAAAAATCGTCATCTAACCCACAATTGCAAATTGGGCTGCAGGATTCTCTCCAACGTCCAGGTTGCTGGCGAGCAGCTTCAAGTGTCTGACAGTTGCGTCCAGGTCCAATGTTTGACTAGGTGTTTCGCGGTACGACGGACAGAACGGGAGGATCAGTCCTCATCTTAGGCGTTGTACACATGTAGGGGGTAAGGGGTTGCTATATCTGGTCCTTTGTCTTTGGGGCTTCGTGTTCCTGCTACTCTGCCAGTCATGACTTGTACTGCATGCTGCGGACATGGGGTAGTTTGTTGATGGTGGCTTTTTGTTGGGTCAACCTGTACTATGGTCTGCTGCGACAGACCGTCGTAACTTTTGGGTCTGGGGCTTGGGTCAACTTGATTGGGGCTATCTAGGGTCTATCGTGGGTCATCTTTGGGTCAGCGTTGGGGCTTTCAAGGTGTATACTGTCTGTAGGCTTGGTTTGTTGTGGGTCTATTCTTTTGTGCTGGTTATCTGTGTTTATCATTTGTGGCGCGCTCGTTTGTGTGCTCTACTTGGTGGTGTTGACTTGGGCGTGATGTTGGCAACTTTTAGTTTCATCTGTGTTGCCGCCTCTCTCACTTTTCCCCACACCACGTCCGGTATTTTGTAGTCTTGTTCAAAGTCAAATGGTCTGTATACGCCGTCTTCAACAATGTTGACCTCTTTCTGGTACCAGGCGTAGTTGTGCGGGCTCTTGTTTAGCACCTGGTCTACTTTGCTGGGTCTGATGGGTACTGTTGGGCCGTATATTGTCTCTTCGGTGAATTCTTTGATTAGGGGCCAAAAGGGGCTGGTCATTGGGGGGGTAGCAGTGGGTTTTGGTATGTACCACTTGCAGTGATACTGTCCTTTTGTTCTTGCTAGTCTCTTGTTGGTCTCCTCCATGTCGATTTGTATCATGTACCAGTTGTTCCACCCTGATGTGTTGTCTTGATGGGCTATGACGTATAATTTGTCCTTGGATTGTGCGGTTCGTTTGTAAGCTCTGTAGATTGAGTTCTTTTGTGATGGTTTCTGTGGTATGGACCTCTCTGGTGTGGTTGGCGCCTTCTGTATCTGTTGGTGGTGCGTTTCTGTTAATCGGCCGAGGCTGCATGCGTTGGATAGCGTCCAGTATGGATGGTGTAGGGGTGTCGTCTTCTTCTTCGTCTGATGAATCTTCCGTTGGCTCAACTTCTTCATCCCAAATGTCTTTGATTGGCTCAAATGCATTTTCTGTGTCTGTCGGTGTTGTCGCGTATTTACCAAAATCAACAAGTCCTAGATTCATTTCCAGGGGGCTGTGTGCTAGCGGGCTCCTCATGTTTGCTAGTCATGTATCGGGTGTGTCCTCTCGTTTGTGTAGTACTATCGTCGATGGGATCTTGTGCATTCTGAATGCTGATTCTTTGATTGGGGTCAATCCTCGCTTCTTTAGCATGGTGCTTGTCCCTGGGATCTTTTGTAGTCTATACGAGTCTTCTGACGCTTTCTCAATGACTCTATAAGGTCCTTTTGTTTGTAGCACCAGTTTTGCTGGTATTCCTGCAGAGGCGTTTGATTGCACTTGTTTCCGCACCATGACAATGTCTCCAATTTCAAATTTCCGTCGCGTTCTGGTTTGATTCTTGAGCCTTCGGTGTGTTCCCTTCGTTCCTCATTGAGAAGTTTAAGCAGTTCCTTTTGTCTCCAGAAGAGTGGGAACATTGTCTCGATGTGCTCTAATGTGTTCTGTCCTGGCGTTTGCTGGTGTCGTGTCCTGTTTTTCTGACGCGCCTCCGATATTGACAATGCCACTGCTGCGTTGTCTAGTGGGAATTTGAAGTGTCGTGCCACTGCTGCAAACGCTCGTTGGATATCCGTGCCATCTACTGGGGACGCGTTCCATGCGTATGTTCCAAACATGGTGTTCATTGCCAATTCTTCGTATGTGTTCATGTCGGCTGCTCTGATTTGTTGCACTTTGTTGAGGTATTTGTGGAATCTTTCACATAGTATTCCGTCGTGGTTTTCCGGACTGACCGTGTGGTATGCGATTCCAATCGTGTTGCATAGGACTGTAAATTGATCTTTGTTTTTGCTGCCTTCGGCCTCTGACGGTGAAGAATTGCGAGAATGCTATTCTGGCCATGTTCCCTGAGTTCATGGAGCTGATGAACGCAACCGTGGCGCAACCTGTCATGTTGCAAACGTACCTGACTACTCCTTTGTTTGCGCGTGTCTTCCTCAAAGTTGTGGACAGTTTGGTAGCGTTCTTTGTTGATCCTGGCAACCAAACGTCCATGCAACATACATCAAATGGTTCTTCTATTGGTGTCTGTTGTAGAATCTTTTGGTTTTTGTGGCTTGACTTGTTGGCTGCATTGCAATGTCCGCATCCTAAGACTGCTTCTCTGATATCCTTTGCCATCCCGGGCCACCAAAACCTTGCCGCTATCCTGTAATACGTCGTGTCGAACCCTACGTGTCCTGCCATTGGTGATGCGTGGTATGCTGCTATGATTGTGCCTCTCAATCTTGGTGGGACGACCGCTTGTCGTAGTTGGCGCATTGGTGCCAACTTTGGCTCGTCGAATTGGTATAGGATGCCGTTTCTATCTCTAGCTTATCTCTGTTGAGTTCTGAGGCATACGTTGGGTTTGTGAGCTTTGATCTGTCTTCCTTTTTGTTGGTGCGGATTGCTTTGATGATGTGGCTGATGTCTGGGTCTCCATTGCATTTCTCTCGCCAGTCTTCTCTGGTTGGGATTGGTAGCGTTGTGAATGGGTTGATGGATCTGCTGACTATTGCTGTTAGGTGTTTTTTAGCATGTTTTGGTCTTGTGTACATTGTCCAGAATTTGTGTTCTGTTTTGTCCGATAGGTGTTGTCGCTGAATGTTTTTGCACATGGTGTAAGTGAACACTTGCTGCCACACCTGTTGTGGTGCCATTCTCTTCATTGTCTCTTTTGTCTCTCAAACAGCAGTTGTCTGCTGTCCTCTTTTGTGAAACCAAACAGGCTGAGGGCTTCCCAAGGTCTGATCGTTTGGACCGGTGATATTACCTCGGCGTTGTTGGTTGCGATTGCTATCGTGCCTTGCGCTGAGATCATGGGTGTTGTGTGGAAGCTGGGGGAGATTTTGGTGGTATCGTAGATCTTGTGTTCTTGTGTGTGTCCTTGTGAGTCGACCGTGTGGACTCTGTTTTGTCCTAGCCTTGCCACGTTGAAATATCCTGTGTAGCTTTTGTTTGGTGCGTCCATAGCGTTTTTTGATCGTTCCTGGCTGTGCGTATGGATCTTCCTTGACTAAACTTCTGCTCCACGCCTCTATCACTCTCCTCCCGGCTGTGAGTATGATGGTGTGTTTGGTGTCTATGTCCGCTTGTGCTGTGCTGCCCCTGGCTGTGTGTGTCGCGATTTGTAGGTCGGTTCTGTCTCTGGTTTCTCTTTTGATGTATTGTTCCCATTCGTCGATGATCACGTCTGGTGGCGTTCCTGTCCACATGAGTATGCATTGTGTTTTTCCCCGTGTCATTGCTTTTCTGATGATGGTGCGAAGGGCCTCCGAGGTTGTTGAGGTATATTTTTCCATGTTGGTTACAATCAAGCATTCTACTGGCGGTTGGGCTGTGTTGTTGACCAGCCTTTTGGCAAACGTTTCAATGCTTGGTATGTCATGTTGTAACTGCCAATATTCCTCCTCGCTGGTGCTAGCTGTTAGCACCATGGTTCCTCCCAGTAGTTCAAAGCTGTCTGCAATGGTGTCCAGGGATCTTCCAATGATCCATGTTGCTCTTGCTGTGTCACATAGTTGCGCTAGTTCTGTGCGTGTTGTATCCGGTCGCCTCTCACAGTGGGCAGTAGGTGCTGTCTGGGCCAGCGCGGTGCTTCGTCTTCTCTGAATTTCCATGCCGCTGCAATGATTGGGTTGTCTGTGTGGGCTTCTTCCGTATTCCTCCACTTGCTTAGTATGCCCTTGTATCTTGACAAGAGGTCGCATTCTGTGAGCATCTTTGCTGGTCGGTGAACTATAGTGAAGACGAATGCCAATAGCTCTAGTTTCCATCGTTGCAGTGTGTGTGTGATGTCCTATTCGCCTTGGAAGAACTTGGTTAGTCCGCTGCAGTCCGTGATCCACGTAAATTCTTTTCCGATGAGCCATTGTTGGAACTTCTTCATCGCCCATCGACCTGTTGCTGCTTCTCCTACAAAGGAATGGTAGTCGCACTCTTTGCCCTTGCATATTCTTGATATGAATGCTATGGGTCGGAGTCTGAGTTTTGACATTGATTTATTGAACTCGCACTTTCCTCCTTCGATCTCTTTCCTCATTGATTCTTCAGCTTCTTCTGTCGTGTCCGCTTGTAGGAGGACCGCTCCCATGGCGTTGCTTGACCAGTCCGTTTTCAAGTAGAATCGTCGCTTTGGATTGGGTCTCTTCAATATTGGTCCTGTGACAATAGCTTGCTTGAGTTTGTCCAGCGTTTTGTCGTCCTTTGGCTCCCATTGTGCTTTCACTTGTTCTGCTTCCTCTTCTTTTGTGCATTCTCCGGGCTTTGGTTTGTCCATCACCATGGTCCTCCACCGTTGGATCTTTTCCTCTAGATGTGGTATCCATTGGGAGTACCATCCAA